CATCTGTTTGTGGAGGAACTGAACAAGATGCAGATGGTACAGAAATTTCTACTGTTTAAGGTAAGTGCAAGACACTGAAGATGACATGACAGTTCAGTGATACTCACGATGGTCACCTCTTCTCCCTGAACTCCGACGTCTGGTCATCGGAAGTGGCACAGTGCTGTGATAGCCGCTATGCTATATGCATAAAAACACAGACATTACAGGCACAACAACAATAAAGCATAAAAGTGTATTCAAAGTTTCAGAACTGCATTTTGATTATTATATTTAGTTTCTAGCTGCATAAATGGACACAGCTAGGCATTTCCCACTAGGATGGTACCTGAACCATACAGTGAAATGAGGACCTAAAAACCTAGACTGAGTCTCAGACCACAGGGTTTAAAGGCAATTTAGAAATTATAAAAATAAAATTACCATTTCACCTGATACTACACACGATGACTCTGTGTCAAGACACTTGGAGTTTCTAAGACATCTTTCCAACTGAAGATATTTCAAGTATATCAGAATAAAGTTAATGAGGTCAAATGATATTTTACTGTGTTTGTGCAGTAAATACATTATTTTGTTTAGTAAAAACCCAGGACAGATTTTGGGCAAAGTCAATAAGTAAATGAATACTGCAGCGTGAAGGCAGCTCTTCGTGTTGGACTGACGCCAGCTTGTAAATAGTTCTCAGTAATCGCTTGTGTGATTATAAATGTGCTGTGTGTTATGTCATGTATAGTGGTTAATGGTTATTGTTGTGCATGGTGTGTGTATGTGTGTCCGCGCTTCCACCGTGTATATGAGGAGTAAACGGGGCGATGTGCACGGTGGGCAGTGCGAGTGTGTGGGTGTAGTAGTGCGGGTGTAATAAAAGTCATCTGGTGATTAAACTCCGAACTATCTCTCGTGTTTAATTATTGGCAGCATGGTTCGGCGGCCCACTAATTCAATACTTTATTGTAAATGATGTAGTGTGTGTGTGTGTGTGTGTGTGTGCTCGCGCGCGCGCAGCCAGTCTGCGTGGCGCGCGCCGTTGAGTCACGTGGCAGCCGGGAGCGCCAATCGAGAGCCGCAGCGCGAACACAGACACCGCAGTACATTTGGGAGAGAAATGGAAACTGAAGTATCGACCTTATTAAACTGGTATTGATTACTATCAACACCAACATTATTATCGATATTATCCATGCTTGGATCGATCCGCCCACCACTACCCACAAATATGAGTCACAACCAAAGCACAGCTCATCCTCCTGGTTTGCTCATTAAACATAAGAAAACAATTACTAACCTATCCAAGCCCGACATTTCTTTATGGCAACCGAGTTCATTGCAATATTCACTCATATAGTACAGGCCAACACGTACATTTAATTCTCATTTAAAAAAATACACTCCTTTACCATTTTCTCTCTTACGGAGCATAGAATAAACGTATAATCCCTTTAGTCTACAAAATCACTGAATATATAAAACGTATAAGAGTATTTTTCAGGGGAAAAAATCCGTAAGTTTTTAAAAAAAGAAATGTCAGGGAGTTAAAGAGCAGAAGTTTTACTATACAGGGATTTCCAAAAATGTACCTATCGGGTACCTACACCGTAAAAAGCGGCAATATTAATAAATTACACTCTATATGTTATAGCCTAAGCAGTGTTAAAGAAAAGAAACCGAAAAACCTAGAGGGAAAAACACACAATCAGCCAAAAAGTCCATCATTCGCACGATCTACGCAAGTAACCTCTCATTTCTAGAAAAGATTTCATGCGCTCATTGTTTAAAATCTCAGATTAAAACGGCACGCGCTGACGTAGCGAATTTATTTCGAAAAAAATGCAAGAGACTTACGAAACTGTCAGGAACAAGAGGAGATGCAAACTAGAGCCCTGCGCGGGACTATTTTTTTAATCCCGCTCCCGCCCACTCCCGCTGAATTTCTGACCATTACCGCCCAATCCCGCCCGCTGTCTCTGTCACTCCCGCCCACGACAATCTAAAACCCGCCCAATCCCGTGAGATTTGCGTTGGGACCCGCAGGATCCCTCTCCCAATGCAGGGCTCTAATGCAAGCTGAGGCGCCGAAGTCACCATATTCGGCTCCGTGTCGCTGCCACACCCCGTAACGCCCACTTCATGGAAGTACCGAAAGTACGGTACCTGGTGCGGTGGAAAAACGTAAGTTTTTAAAAAAAGAAATGTCAGGGAGTTAAAAAGCAGAAGTTTTACTTCGCTGCGGTATGTTACTATGCAGGGATTTCCAAAAATGTACCTATCGGGTACCTACACCGTAAAACAGTTGTAAACAACACCTTCAGTTGGAAAGATGTCTTAGAAACTCCAAGTGTCTTGACACAGAGTCATCGTGTGTAGTATCAGGTGAAATGGTAATTTTATTCTTATAATTTCTAAATTGCCTTTAAACCCTGTGGCCTGAGACTCAGTCTAGGTTTTTAGGTCCTCATTTCACTGTATGGTTCAGGTACCATCCTAGTGGGAAATGCCTAGCTGTGTCCATTTATGCAGCTAGAAACTAAATATAATAATCAAAATGCAGTTCTGAAACTTTGAATACACTTTTATGCTTTATTGTTGTTGTGCCTGTAATGTCTGTGTTTTTATGTATATAGCATAGCGGCTATCACAGCCAGAATGAAGCTCCAAAGACAGACATTAAACCTGTCGAGGATAGGGAGCGGAGGACAGGAGCCTACTGGGGAGGACCAGGAGATGGGCAAAGCAGAAAAAGGGCTACCTGTAGAGGACATGGAGGAGGACAGGAGCCTACTGGGGAGGACCAGGAGATGGGCAAACCAGAAAAAGGGCTACCTGTAGAGGACATGGAGGAGGACAGGAGCCTACTGGGGAGGACC